CATAACTTATTATCATACATATACTACATTAGGCTATAATAATACATTTAAAATGCATGACCGGTACTAATGTATTTTAAATACTGTTATATAATTTTATATATTGTTCTATAAATTTTCCTTACTTTTCCGTTTGTAGAGATAATTGATTTGGCAAATAAAAGGCTCGTATACAGTGGGAGACGACGTAATGCCTTTTTTAAAACTTGACTAAATGACTTGAATTACTGTACAATGGCTAAAATATTTCTTTTTAATTTTACTACTGCTTGGAATGGCAAAAAAAAAATAGAAAACTCGCGTTTTTCAATTTTTTTTATCTGGCTCTATAACAAAAATTTAAAAAATGCGTTCTATATATTTCGGCAACTTATAATATGCATACTAAAAACTTTATCGCAAATGTCTAAAATCTAAAACATTAAATCTTTGAATGTCTGTAACTTGACATTTTCGCAGGGAAATAAGTAATGCGAGGAGTGGGGTAAGTGACGCATGCGCCGAGAGTTCCAGGAAAAATGTAATCTTTTTTAATGTTAAGGAAACAAATTCCTTTCTTATAGTTCCATAGTAGGATATCAAAAAATAAATAAATATTTTCTCTAAATATAATACCTTCAATTTATTCCAAAGATGTACGCAAATTAGAGAAAAAAATAACTGCGTTTTTAGATAAACCGCATCACCTTTTAAGCAGTATTGAGTAATTTGAAACAGAGAAGCTTTTGTACTTTAATTATATACATAATTAAGGAAATATATTACGTCTGTTAAATCAATAGTACCATTGTTGATTTTAGTAGAACACGAATTTCACACGAATGAATTTTTAATAAAAGAATTGTACTTAAATTGCATACTTTTTTGCGACAGATTGCGTCGATGTAAGACTTGATTGGTGCATTAAACTTTAGATTAAATAAATAAAGAAGTTACAGCTGCGTAAACTTACGGTTTTGGTGCTGAGATCATTTTTTGTGTCACGTTGGTACGAATTTATTGTGCGGACTGAATTAATTTTTCTTCCTTTTGATAATGTAAAAATGAAACTCAGACAAGAAATGAAAATTATGTCTGCCTTGAAACTATTAACATCGTTGTATAAAACATTTTTTAGACAACTATTTAATTTTGACAACTTAATTTAATTTTTTTTCTTTTCTTTTTTTGACTGTAGATTCGTAATCAACGACCTCGAAAACCCTAGGATACTAATCTTTGCCTCAATTACAGTTTTCTTATTGATGTATTCATATCTTTTCCGCATTTTGAGAATTTCGAACCACTGTGCGCCGTTGTTCGGAACTCCCGGCGCATGCGTCATCAATCCCACTCCTTGCGTAACTTATTTCTCTCCGAACATTGAGCTTGACTCAGCGTGAACCGCTTTGGATAAAATTTTCAGTTCGCACGTAAGTTACCGAGATCTAAAAACGCGTGTTTTAAATCTTCGTCATAGGCTCAGATAGGTTAATTAAACAACTGCAGTTTTCTTTTGTTCCTCTTTGTCAATCGAAGTAATAACAAAATTTTAAAAAAAGTATTTCGGTCATTGTACACTAATCGCTCCCTCTAACATCTTCGAGAAATTCAAATCATTTAGTCCAGTTTGAAGAAAGTTATTCTGTCTTAAATGTGTATAAATACTTTTGTCTTCTACTGTACATCCCGTTCGAGTTACAGTTCCTATGTATCCGACCTGTTCATGGAGGATTGTGATTGGGTTCTGTAGTGCAGAAACATCGGGGGCGTAATCCTGAGGTCAAAATTGGCACACATAGGTCAAGATTGATCTAGGTCAAGATTGGCGTCAGTCTAGATTGGTCTGCATTCTACATCTATGTCAAGATCGACCTAGCATGCCTATAAAATAGTCATACACAGGCCTCGGAAGCATCTACCGAAATATCGTGTGTAATGCAATTTTTCCCAATTCACGTTAATACAAAATGAAAGAAAGGGTGTGACTTAGTTGTCAATAAGTTACGCGTAGCTAGTTGCATACAATGGAAAACGACGATGCAAGACTCATTAGATTAGGTAAAGTTCTGAATATTATAACGTTTTGTAGAATATTTCTGAATATTATATGAACGTATAAACGTGAAACTACAGACCAACAAGTAGGGGAAAATAATTTGAATTTACATACAAGCTCAGTATACAGTAAATTCTCTCCAATTATCCCTCAGCTAATGTAAAAAAAAATGGAAGAGGAGAGACTATTATTCGAGCCTCGTTGCTTGTTTTTATATTCGCCAATTATCAACGATTATAAAAACGAGTCTCAAATTATCCATTTTTGGGTAATTTGCAACTTTCATACTAACAGTTTTTCCATGTCTCCATAAAAGTAATCTAAGATACATACATATAATAACCTTGACATAACCTTTTGAGTAATCATTTCTCATTTAACTCTTTTGAACAGTTTCGCCATCATCCTTTCAATTTTATAAATTGCCTTTACATTTGCCTAACTTCTGTCAGTAAGCTATCTACTTGATCCGATGACGATGCAATCGCTTCATATCGTTATCATTATAATTGTTGGTAAATACGAGATTCATTAACCTCAATAATTACAGATCGAAAGAATCTGTGTAATAACCTTTTGAATAATCATTTCTCATTTAACTCTTTTGAACAGTTTCGCCATCATCCTTTCAATTTTATAAATTCCCTTTACATTTGCCCAACTTCTGTCAGTAAGCTATCTACTTGATCCGATGACGATGCAATCGCTTCATATCGTTACCATTATAATTGTTGGTAATTACGAGATTCATTAACCTCAATAATTACAAATCGAAAGAATCTGTGAAGTTGGAAGTATCTACAATGATTCGCGTCCAATGCTCGTCGAATAGTATTACAGCGTGCATGAGTTACAAGAAGCATAGATTCCTATACCCTCTCATGTAAGAAATAGTTTAGTACTACGTTCAACGAGAATTAGCATAAAATGTAAACAGAACGTTCACGTGTGATCGCTACTGCCGTTGCAACTGAGTGGCTGTTAGACGACGATGCTCAGGAACCTTGCATGCAGAGTAGCTTCATGTAGAAGGGCCCGAAAATTGTGATCGGCCCTGGCCCGGACACGCTACACTCGCGTGCACCTGTTCACGTTTTCTGCCAGTTCTCGTTGAACGAAGCATCGAAGAAGGAGAACAGAACTCAGCCATAGCATACGCGATCGTAGAGATGAATGGGCGATCGGATTTATGCGATATGCGAAAGTAAGAGAAAAAATTAAAAATGTACCGTAAAATGGGCATCTAGTATACGGCGGGTACCGTAAACATCGACCTTCGGCCACGGAACATCAAAACAAAAATGAATCAATCAAAATTACGCGACTGATTTCAATGAAAATAAAAATAAACAATTTCCTCAAGTATTTCCAATACTATTTTTTTACCTGTTTGAAAATATTAATTTAATTGCCACAGAAAATTCTAATGATTGGGTTGTCCTGAATGTGAATCGTGATAAATAATTAAGAAAATATAATAAACAGCTATGATAATATACAACTCTTTCTTTATGTCAGCTTTAATCGAGGTACAATAGAAACAATAATTCTAGTACGAAATTTTGTTTAAATTGTACATTTCCAACTTACATATACAGGGTGTCCCAGGGTGTTCAAACTTTGACAGTATATTCTATGGCACAAAGTAAGAAAAAAATATTATGTAAACATAGGTCATATAGAGCTTTATTACTGTCTCTTATACACATCTAGATGTGTATAAGAGACAGGTGTTTATTAATACATTTCGAAATGTATTAATAAACACCTGTCTCTTATACACATCTAGATGTGTATAAGAGACAGGTGTTTATTAATACATTTCGAAATGTATTAATAAACACCTGTCTCTTATACACATCTAGATGTGTATAAGAGACAGGTGTTTATTAATACATTTCGAAATGTATTAATAAACACCTGTCTCTTATACACATCTAGATGTGTATAAGAGACAGTAATAAAGCTCTATATGACCTATGTTTACATAACATTTTTTTCTTACCTTGTGCCATAGTATACACTGACAAAGTTTGAACATTAAAACCTGGGACACCCTGTATATGTATATGTCAATATGTGTGTGTGTACATAACATACATTCAAGAATAAGATTTAATACATTCAACAGATATTTCATATATATGTTGTAGAAATACGATTAAAATAAATAATACATACAGTAAATTCTCTGTCTATCTCTCTCTCTCTCTCTCTCTCTCTCTCTCTCTCTCTCTCTCTCTCTCTCTTCCTAATTGACCTCCAGTTTGAAAACAAAAATGGATAATTTGGAAAGAAGAGTTACGATTATTCAAGCCTTGCAGTTCGTTTTTATAGTTCTTAACAAAAATCGCTCGAATAACCGTATCTCCTCTTTCCAAATTCTCCATTTTTATGTACAAGCTGAGAGTCAATTAAGGAGAATTTACTGTAATATTATAATTTCAAAATGTATGTACTCCAATTTGTATCACGTCATGGACGATACCGAACTGATATATATTTTATTTTAGATATGCAATGCGGAAATTCTATAGAAGACCTGTTGATAAAGGAGCTCGAACGGCACAGGATGCCGCATTAATAAAAATCAGTTATTTCAAGGCGATGCTAACATCTAATAAGGTATTGGAGTCAGCTACTGTGGGGTAGCCAATTACTGTGCCTCTAGCATATTCTCAAACATAATTAAATTTATATTTATCGAATAAGGCATACTAAATTTTTGTATTTAAATTCAATTAATTCTTCATTTGTTAAAATTAAAGATACAAAAGACGGAAGTTCTATTACAACAAAAGCTCTATTATTTCAATTTCTCTAATAGCGAATTTGCGAAATTTTTAACGATTGAAGATCGATATTTAATAAAATAAATCGTTCTAGGTAATATATCACAACGTTAATTCTATTAGTAAAATGTATAAAGATTACGGAAAAACAAACAGTGACTATTTATTTGAATTTTTGTTTTTAGTTTCAATTTTAATGGTTGCCGCTTATCACAAGATGGGCCTTGACATAACCTCAAATCTCAAATCATTTTTGTTATATTTTTAAAGACAAGAAATTTAAGTATGAAATTTTATTAAAACAGTCATCTCTAACGTGGACTTTTAAATTACTTATCATAATATTATACATTTCTTTTATAGAAAATAAAATTTATTAAATTATTTTAAACATAAAATTTCTATTGTGCCCAGTTATTGGGACTCGGTATTCAGAGCTGGAGCATAGTAATTGAAGAATGGCATTCAAGGAGAGAGCACAGTATCTGATTTCTGTAGATCATAGGCACACGATTACTGGCTTCAGAACTAAATTAACAAAGAACAATATTAAATCGTACAAACTTTATTAAATTCGAAACTATTTTTTCCCATTCCTCGGGGTTTCTATGGCATAACGTACCAAAATGATAAGCTTCGATAAAAATTATTATGCTTCAAGGAGAGTAGTTCTTTCGAGCCCACAGAGGGCTCAAACGGTTTCGATTATTGATCAATAGAGATATTTGATACCGCTACAGCGTCCGCGTTAGGGTACTAACCATACTCTCTCTCATCGGTGGAACTCCTTTATCTGCAGTACTTTTGTACGGTCACACTTGATTGATTTGGCCGAAATTTGTTATGGTATTTCACATATTTAACATACTTCAACCGTTTATTTCAAAAGAAATACTGTTTTCAAGCGTATTAGAACCTTATATTGGGTTGGCAACTAAGTAATTGCCGGTTTCAGTTATAGATGTCTCTCACTCCCATTTTTATGATATCCGTAAATGTTACATTATAAAATTATTATTATTATTATTATGTTATATTTTATTATCCGTGAATGTTAGCAACTGGACATGTTGAATGCAGCGGTCAAGGAAAAGCGACCAGAATTGGTCAATCGTGAAGGTGTCATTTTCCACCAGGACAATGCTAGCCCACTCGGCAAAAATTGATGGATATTGGTTGGAAATTGATGTTACACCCACCATATAGCCCTGATCTCGCGCCATCGGATTACTATTTATTTCGATCCCTGGACAACTCCCTTCGTGGTAAAACTTTTAATGATGATGACGCGCTATAAAATCTCATTTAACTCAGTTTTTGGCCGAAAAGGATCAGACTTCTACGAGCGTGGAATTTTCAAGTTGTCAGAGAGATGGCAAAAGGTCATCGAACAAAATGGAAAATACATTACAGATTAAACTTCATTCCAAGTAAAAAAAATTTTTTATTTCATTGAACAAATCGGCAATTACTTAGTTGCCAACCCAATATCTTTTCGACAAGTAGAACACGTTAATCTAAAAATCTGAGCATTCATTTTCATTAGCATGAACAATTTCATGGATAGGTTTTACACAGATAATGTTCCAATGTTCAGTTTCGTACAAGTTATCGAGATCTTGTTCATACCGGTTTCTTTTAGCAGAATGTACCGTGTATGATTGAAATTTATTTTTTATCAGCTATGAAGTATCATTGTATCATTATCGTGCTAGTAATTACCATAAGAAAACTGTCATTATAAGAACTCGAAAAAAATAACTTTGACGAAAAAAGTTATGAATCGCGATATTCGTCATTCCAAATCAAACAGTTAAGTCCTGTCCTATTTTCAGGTGTTAACAGAAGTAATTCATTAAAAAATATTAAGGGAAGATGTTGACATACTGAATAAAAAGATGATCGAAATACGTTCTATACAAAATATTCGTAAATGATTAATACGCTTTCAGTTGTTCTACCAAGCTGTGTATTATACTTCCACAATCATAAGTTCTGGCATTTGAAGGGCCACTTTAGAAGAATCACATCTCTTTGCGAAATTATGGTCCAACAACTGATTTAATAGTAGTGCTTGGATTGATTTGACGCATCCAACAAATAATTGTTCGGCAATTATCGTGTATGTGTTATGTAAATACCTCATATGTAAATTCCTTGTAATAACAATTTAGTGGAGAAGTTGGATACTTTTCTACTGTATCAACACATTAGTTAGTCAACATTAACTATGATACATGTTGCCCGAAATAATCGAAGTAAATAATGTGCACGTTTTTCTTATGATTGACGATGAAGTTTGCTCCTTCTTTTCCATTCTAATTTACGTAATTGATCAAATATACAGGATTTCCATCAATAAGTGCCGTTTAAAATAATTGGTAAACTGTTTACTTTATGAAAGAAAGCGTCAAATGTATTTTTTATGTTTCTTTTCACGTAAAATGCGTTAACACAAGAAAAAAATTGTTATTAAATTTGTCTAGGTCATTTGAAGATTATTGATCACTCGGAAATGATTGATGTTGCTATGGGAAAAATTGTTTGCCACGAAGACTACACCGATGTTCAGCAGTCGAAGGAAGAAATTTTAAACATATTTTGTAGACAAGGTAAATGAAAAGTTAGAAAAGACCATCCTCATCTGTTGCACAAAAGATTATCTTCTCATGACCTGGAAGGTCGCCTCAAAGTCACTTCTAAATAGTGTTTTGAATTCGTATTTTTATGCTGTTTTATTGTAGCCAAATAAAAATAGAGCACTCCGTTTAAAAGAATTAAAATAACCTCCAAATAACCTTGAAAAACTTAGTAAAAAATGTTGTTCTTCCGTTAACGCATTCTACGTAAAAAAAACATAAAAAATACATTTGACGCTTTTTTTCATAACGTCAACCATTTGTCTGTTATTTCCAACGACACTTATCGATGGACACCCCGTATTTTGTATGCCATATGAAATACAAACGAGTCCGTTTGAAAAATGCGTCCAAATCGAATGATCCACAGGACAACCCAATGTATAAATGCAATCAATTGATATCTCTTTTGCTGGAACCGAAAAGTATTCAGTTGTCATTGATTTCTGCGATTTAAATATTCGTACCTATATTCGAAATGGTCACCCAAAAATCAATGGTCTTTTCCGACCCTAATTCCTCGTAATCCCATTTCTGTTGTACGGTGACAGATCCATTAGGCTCTACGTTAACCCACTTGTTCTCGTCTCTAAGCTTATAGGTTTCATTCTCGTTTTCTTTCTCCAAATAGAACGCGATCTTCCCCTGGACATCTCCATCCGCTTCGGTGAAGTCCACTTTCTTCGTTGGCCTGACGGCTCTGGTTACCCGTCGTTTCTCTATCCGATGGGTCTGCACCTCCTCTGGTTCCAAGGTTATGAATCGAACGATAACCTTCGCAGGTTTCTCGGCCGATAGACTCGGGCTCCGTACATCGTGAGCCTCCACGGTCACCACGTACTCGGCGACCTCGTTCACAGCGATTTCCGGCTCGTTGGCCAACAGCAGTTCACCGGTCTGCGGAACAACGACCAGCAATCGACTGGGCGTGAGCAATTTGTAGGCGACCTTATCGCCGTCGGCGTCTTTGGCGAGGACTTTGCCCACGGTGGAGAAACGTTTCCATCCCGTCAAAGAGACGCCGTTCTTGTCGATGGCGTCCTCGTTCGAGCCGAGCACCGTCGGTCTGATCTCGAACGTGTACAGCTCCTTCTCGAAGACCGGCCTGTTGTCGTTCTCGTCGAGGATGTGCACCACGCCATTGATCTGCGAGGTGCTGAGAAAGTTCCCGTCGGAAGCGTATATCGCGACCGTGTACAGTTTCTTCGCCTCCCGGTCCAGGGGCTTCGCGGTGACCACCCTGACGCCCACCTTCTGGCTGTTCAACGTCAAATTGAACCCGGTCTGATTCGAGTTCTCCTCTTTAAGGGCGAATGCTCTTTCCCCGGTCTCGTCCGGCAAGATGGCGTAATGGACTGGGAAGCTACCGCCTGCGCGTAGAACGGGGAAACCGTCGATCAAGGTGCCCAGCGCAGAGTTCTCCGTTACCTCCCCTTCGCCGAGATGGTCGTGCGAGAAGGTGATCATGTTACTGCGATTAATCACGTAGAGACGAAGGAAATGAGTTTCGGTGCCGTTCGCCAGATCCTCGAGAACGATTAGATTCACGGGCTGGTCGACCAGCGGTGATAAGTCGGACGTGGTCATCACCAGACCGTTCCCAAGCACGGTGAAGTAGTTGGAATAATCGTTCTCCATCAGACGGAAGTTCGACGGACGTTTTGTGTTGAACTGCGTCACTTCGTAACCTGGATAAACATCGTGAGGCAAAACCGCTACCTTGTCACCCACCGATGTGGCCACTAGCAGGACCGTCACGACTAGTATACGCCACATCGTTCTGCCTCTTGTCCTCTCCGCTCGCAGTACGGCCGCGTTGTTACTAGAGCATGAGTACCGACACCTTCTGAAAACAGAAACAACGAAGACGCTGTTAGTACAACATTCTTTGGATACGATCTGCTTAGCGATACGCGATAACAAGGAGGATATACTGTACAGTAGAAGTCCACTTACAGTCGGGGACAAAAGTAAGCCCAAGGAAGTCATTTTTTTTTACTGCTTTTTAATTTCAATTAGAAAAAAAATTATGTATATAATGATACAATTTCTTAGAATTTTGTGACTTTTTGTACAACATATAAACGCGTTTATTAATAATTGTAGTTACCTCCCCCCATCCTTCATTTCCGGTATATATGAAAAAAATGAAAAATGTTATTTCAATGCAGAGCCGAACTATTCATATAAGAAATTTACTCAATTCAATAATAAGAGTCATTTGATTATTTGTGTGTGTTATACCTATATTGCCCAAAAGCAGTCGTTTTGATTGCTTGGGAAATTTAAAATAATCAAATGACTCTTGTTATTGAATTGAGTAAATTTCTTATATGACCAGTTCGGCACTGCATTGAAATAACATTTTTCACTTTTTTCGATTACCGTTACATGATAACATACAAGTACATGATAAATTGTCGATTTGGACGTATACTAGATGAGTTGCAGTTGCTCGATAAGCTAAAGTAGTACTTGTTATTCGTATCTTAAATTTTTGTTATTGTTAATATTTACTAATAACCTGTTATATAACTGTAAATAATATAAAAAAATATTAAAAATTAATTTTCAACAAATTTCTTTACACATTAGTTATTCTTTCACAATGCAGTCATTTTGACTGCTTTTGGGCAACATAGGTATATACTAAGTTTCAGTCTTTCTAGTGTTAATATAGCATCGTAATTACGTGTTTAAGCTTTATTTACCATTTATGATTCGAATAACATTGAAAATAAATATCAACAGTCGGTGCAAACCCAAATTATGTTTAAACAAAAGAATCAACAAATTACAGGAAGACAGAAATAAGGGGATATTCAAGTTGATATATTATTGTGAGAGAAGAATGAATTTTCCAGTACTTATTCAGGCTCCATACAAGTAAAATTCAGTGTTGAGTAGTATCAAGATGTCAGAAACAGCTGAAATATCATACCAAATCCGCAATTTAATCCTTTCGGACTGTCGAAATAAGTTAAGTTGTCGTCTTATAAGACGTCTTAATATCAAAAAGTGCGATGGAAAAAATATGGAAAATATTAGGTCTACCGGAAAGTTCTGTCCGATAGTGTCACTTCAAGTTTCAATCCATATGCACATGTTGATTTGAGACATATATGACTATCTCTCTTTATCATTGCATTTACACACATGTACTCTCCTAAATAAACTGAAACAAAGATGTCTCATGTCATTATTAAGTGAGACGCGATCGTGAAAACATGGCTACCGATGATAATGCCAGATCACATGCTGCTTTGGCGACTTGTCAGAAAATCGCAGAGCTAGGCTGGGAAATTCTGTCATATCCACCATACTCCCCGGACCTAGCACCCTCCGATTGTCACTTGTTTCTTTCTTTGCAAAACTTTTTACAGGACAAAAATTCAAAACTGAAGCTGATGTCAACCAAGCACTAGTTGAGTTCTTCGCCTCTAAAAATGAATCATTTTTAACAAATGGCATTTACAAGTTGCCATTACGCTGGCAAGAAGTCATAAGTAACGATGGAAAGTATATTCTACAAAAAATGTTATTAAATGTATGAAAATTGTGTTATATTTCAATTAAAAAACGGATAGAACTTTCCGATAGACCTAATATATCAGAACTCTAGTACACGGTGGTGAGCTTGAACGTCGATATTACATGCTTGAACAGGAAATCGGAAATGGCTCGCTCGTTCATCAAAGCTAACAGCCTTAGATAATTATTTACGGAGAATATTAAAACAGGATGTGTACAGTGAATTACCAATAATTAAATAAACGAATACAGACATGAGAGATTGTGTGCAGAGAGCATGCACTGTGATTATCTAAATTAGACTATTTATTAATCCAAGCAAAATGGAAATATAGAAAAGTGCAAATATAGAAAAAAAGTTGATCAAAATAAGAAGGTAACTTTCTTAATTGGTACGTGTAATTACTAGACTGTGGATTCTTATGCATTAATGGCAAGTGCAAAATTTTAAAAATGCAAGGAAACATACAAATTAACAAAATCTAATAGCAGTTTTACTTCATCTCTACAGTGATTAATATTTTAGTCGACGTTTCTCTCTTTAACTATAATTTTTGTAAAATGATGTATGAAAAGGAGAATTTGTCCAAATCTAATAATTACCGTACCGACTAAAAAGTATCATCACTCAAGCAAAAAATTCCAATTTTAATGAAATTTATCGTGATAAAATCGTGGTGATTCCTAGCTAAAGAGTGACAAGGATTCTAACAAATTTCTATTGTATTAATTTGTCGTTTTCTATGACTATTAATTAATACTTTCGACATATTCCTCTCTCTATAGTAAATATCCACGTTACCCTAGAAAATAACATTTACATTTTTGTACATTTTGTAGCTATTTCGAAAAAATTCAAATCACGACAATTTCAATTATCAATAGAATTATTCCGTGTTGTATCGATACCGTGTTCTTCGAAGTATCGTGTGCTATCAGTATTAACAATTGACTCTATTTTATAATAATTAGTCTGCGGATTTTTCTGCAAAATAAAACTCGTCTGCATTAATTACAATATACCAATATTGAATCGACATTTATTCTTATTCTTAATAATTTTAACGAGTTTAAAAGAACGCAACAATACTTTAAAACTGTTTGAATGTTTTTACTCAGTCGCATATTAACTACACATTTTTATCGTAAATGCATAAGATCCACAGTCTACTAATAAGTAACACACAAATTAAGTTATCCTATAAACAATATACATAAATGATATTGCAGTTTTAGTGCTAGCACTGCGAAAAAAATTCACAGACCGTTTCTGTCGCTTTTGTCGTAAAACATATTGCAAGCATAAAAATTAGAGTTGTCAATGGTAATTTTATTGTAGAAAACGATGGAAATTAGTTGACCATGTATCTAGACAAATCACTGTGATAGAAAAATCACATAATGAGAAGGTACAACTAGATCTAAAACTAGGAAACATATACTGCATTTTAAGGTAGACGTATTTTCTCTCAGTGCAAAGCAAAATGGTGTACTACATCCCCCTCCAAAATTGTTAGGATACTTGCTGATTTAATATAAATTGTAATCTTTCATTCAGTTTAGGTAATGTTTTATGTTTAGAGTTTAGAAGTGTTTATTACTTACGCAATTAGTTTAGCAATTTCTTGCATTTTGTTCGATTAAAATGTATGCCGAGTTCATTTCGTATGATATATTTTCGAAATATGTGGAACATTTTACAACATGTATGGAACCAAAATAGGATCAGAAATAGTAGACAAACTATTATAATAAAACAGATGCCGAAATTAGTCCAAGAAGTAATTAGAAAACGCGATGGATATATCGTCGAAAAGAAAATTAAATTTTCTTTTATTGTAACATAAAAAATTATAATGTAAAAAATATATAGATATATATGTACTTTTTACAGTTTCATATAATCGACTTTGAAATAAATTAGAGAAATTATAACAATTTCCTATCGGTTTCCCAAATTTTCTTTTAATTTTCTGTGAGTGTCGTAATACTTTTGGAAGGGAGTGTATGTCATGCCGTGGATACAGAGCTCTGGCGTAGTACCAAACGGAAAGGAATTTGAATATTATCCAGAGATTTCAAGACAAAGCCGTAAGGATAATGATTGTTGCGCTATAATATGTCAACGATGACGTCTTCCATAAAGATCGTGCCCGTATTTATGCGATGGAACAAATCCAAAAGTCACGATAAAGCACAATAATGACCTGAAGCAATGTTCTTAGTATATATACCCCGCACAAAATCTAACATGTACCTGAAATATTGGGGAAAGGTGCTATGAATTAGCCACCGTTTTTCATTTTGTAATAACATTCATGCGTATGAATTGTATCAATTATAAGTTCCCCATCATTAATCATATCAAGCATATGAGTAATAAGAGACTGACGGTGAAAGTACAATTTTTGGTAATTTTAGTAACTTTTGGAAGCGTTTCCTGAATTATTGTTGTTAGTGACTGATTTCACTTTTACTACAACTGAACAAGCATTTCTTGGGTAACGCGTTTTTTAACGCAACTGAACAATAAAATTCGTTAAACTTCGTTATCTTTCATTTGATGCTATTCCAGTTATTGGTTAAGTTGTCAATTTACTTGCTAAAATGAGATGAACACGAATGGTTATTAATTGGACATCCCTTTAAACCTTATTATAATTTTTGAATATACATTTATTTTATACTAAAAAACTCTTACTTCGAATATCTTCTTCTTTAGCTTTTTCAGTTTAAACATACCATCTGAAAACGAGGCCTTGTTAATGCAAATCAAATACAAGATGCGGTAAACGGAATTCTACAGAAAGGATGTTCAATAAGATTAAGTGCAAAATCTTTCACTATATCATGTCTGTTTAGTCATATAGTAATCGAGGAAATGATGCTAATATTAACCCCTTTCGTCAGACTCTCCCGTTCATAAATATCGATGTCTTTTTCAATACAACCAATTTATAAAAGGGCCAAACGCACTTTTTAAGAGATCGGAAAAATAATATGTAAATGTAGAAGTAGATTAATGGCATCATGGCAGATGTCCCAGTTTCCGTGCCTGTCCCTATTTCCATGCCTCCGGATTGAAAACATATAGCAAAAGAAAATTGTTATATAGAAATTGATAATCTATTTTCTTATTAGGTTTACCTATCAACATGTAAGATTCAGAGAGAGATACTACATTTTTCACATGTCAAAATGTAATAAACATTTTGCAATTGATGCTACAGCAATTCTGAGGCATTTTAATAGTATGTCTTGTTAATAATCATAAAAAACGCTTGCTGAGGGTTTTCGCATAAATTAATTATTAAT